ATCTAACTTTTTCTCCTTTTCCTCTTCTCTTTCTCTCTCCTAGGCTTTCTCTCTCTTCAAAAAACATGAAATAGATATTTAATGGCTGAGATATTTTCCCTGATCGTCCGGACGATATTCGCACTTCGTCCTGGGATGATCTCCTCAGTTATTCACAAACAAAGTTCGTTAAAACAAAATTTGCTCTTCGTACAGGGACGATCTCCTCGGGTTGTCATCGTACGAACGTTGATTAATTTCGTCGCTGGACGGAGCTCTCTGTCTAATGGCTTTCAACTGTTTGTCCCGGACGAACCCAACTTCGTACGGACGAACCTGGAAGGAAAATCCATAACAAGCTAAACATGAAAGAAAAAGGGTTTTCACAAAATATTATATCATAAATAAGATGGACAATCACAAATATTTTTACCTATAAATTTATTTTTTTAGCAATATTAGTTGAGAGTTAAATCAATATTCTCAAATCTCACCAACTAAAAGAGATTACACTCATCTTTCTAATTAAAAATTGTAAAATATGTAATTTAATTTATGTATTTAAGAAACTCAAATTAAGAAAAAATTAGTATCATATATTTGACCGAAATTAAATAAAACATTTAAATTAGTATCATTCAAAAATTAAATATTGCACATTTTAGCACACCTTATGTAGAATGAGGGTATCCTGATCTGATATCCATTCATCCACCAAAATCCAATACACATAATTGAAGTAAATCTTCTAAAGTCTAAATTATTCTTTCTGGTTTTTTATTTGTCTGAGGATGAAATGCAGTGTTGAAGGTCAATCTAGTATTCAAGGTTTCCTACATCTTTTTTCACAATATAAAAGTGAATCGAGCATCTCTATCATATACTATAGATTTCGAAACTCCATACAATCTCACAATTTCTTCAACATATATCTTTGCTAATTTTTCCACAAAATATGTTTTTTTATAGATAAGAAATGAGCAGATTTTGTTAATCGATCCACAACAACCCAAATAGCATCTTGACTCTATCTTGACTTGGGTAATAAAATCACAATTTATTATAATTTTATCAAATTTCCACTCATACATATGTAATGGATCGGTTTGGGTGGCCCGTTCAACCGAACCGGCCAACCCTGCTAATAAAAGTCGCGACCCCAAAAGGGGTCAGAGCATTTTGCAAAATTGAAGGGGCGGACGGCTGGGCGGACCAAACACGTACAAAGAAGGGATTTTGAGGTTCGTTTCGCCATTTTTAGCGAATCATTTTATTTGATGATAAAATTTAACTTCTTTTCATTCCTATTGCTAAAGAAATAGAAATTGAGAAGGAAACATAAGAAGAAGAAAGTTCTGTCGAGAGGAACGACTAAGAGGAAAATGAGCGAGGTTTGTTATTTTATTTAGTTTTTTTCTCTGTATAAATCTTTCTCTATTCTTCATCTAATTAGTGGAGAATATTACTTAAAGACGAGGGTAGAGATTGAAAGAGGGAAGGAAAAGATTTGGAAAGAATGAGGAAATAATTCAGGAACCCTTTTCTTCTGAAAGTAGAACAAAGAGTAAGCGAACTATTAATTAAGTTTGATTTATATATGAATTTATATTTTTTTTTCTAATTAAAGAAATCATTATTATAGGAATGATTCAATTAAAGCAAGCATTGGTTTAATGATTCAATAGAGGAAGGAAATTTCAAGGAAGAGAAAACTACTGTGAGGTAATGTTATAGAAGGAATCAATTGTAGTTGAGGCATTCAAATTTGATTTTAATATAAATTAATTTTTATGTTATGGTGAACAATTCTCAATACAAGACGAATATTGGAAGAGGTGAATCAAGTGGGAAAATTATGAAATTTTATGATTTTTTTATGCATATAATCTTTTAAACATTTGATTATTTACATAAATTACAAATGTTGAGAGATAGATATATCATGATCTTAAAAGTCTTCTGATAAATTTCATCTGTTGTAAATATTTGAAACTTCTATTACGGTGAAAAGTATTGACTATAATATGTAAGAGATGCCATACGATGATCAAATGAAAAGTGGAAAATGGAAAAAGAAAATGAAAGACAAAAGTTATATATAAATATATGTATAAAAATAAAACATATGTAAAAGTGAAAAGGAAAAGATACTGCAAATTACAGAAGTTCACCCCCGTATGGTACTGGCTGGGAAAACAACGTACCCGTGCACATTAAAAGTGAAAATGAAATGGAAATGGAAATTTTTGTATCTCAATTAGTACATTTAGACGGTGTTCCTGTATAAATGAAAATGGGGAAATGAATATACTAAGGAATTGAATGTTAAACCTATTAAAAGAAATGTCAAAATAGAAATGAATAGTTATGACTGTATACCAAGAAGATGTCTTATGTGTGATAAAGTTTAAAATGCTTGAAAGATATATGTGTATCGATTTAATATTAAGAGAGAAAGTTGTATGTATTATATTGATAAATCTATTTTACCTATTTTAAGATTTTCAATAGTTACCCACTGAGTTTACTTTGTAAACTCATTCCATTAAATAAATATTTTCACGTAAGATTCCAAAGTGATTTAGAAATGGCTGAAAAAGAAGAGTTCATCTATAGAAGATGACGTGCAAATGACAAGAGGTAATTTATGATTTAATACGAATGCTTAGTATTAGAGAAATTTTTTTGTTAGTGGCTCTTTAATTTAACAGAGAAAATTTTATGTTCTATTGCTTATGAATTGAAATGTTTTGATCCTACCGCCAGACTTTTAGTTACCACCTCATTAAATCGAGCATTCAGGCCGGGTTGTGACATATATAGGTAAAGGTTGTAATTGACTACCCGACTTTTGATGTTCAACTTTAATCATTTAACATATACTGCATTTTTCCAGAAATTCTACAACACTTCTTTTTAGTCTTGGTCACAAAATAATCATCTAAGTTCTTGATATATTTTATTATTGCATGGATGAATTTCATAGCCAAAAATATGAGCTTTGATATATTTTATTATTGCATTGATATAATTTCTTCTATTAAATTATCAATATTTGGAATATAGATTATGCCTTTATATTTCAATAATTTTTCATCATCTAATACAAAATCTTCCAACTGCCCTGTCTGAATTTTCTTAATAATTTCTTGAAAATTTGTATCTTGGGATAAAGAATTGCATATTATATCATTCAATGTAGATTGAATCATCGGCTGATTTTAATATAAATTTTGAAAAAAGGGTCCATCAACTCTATTTGATGGATCAAATTGGTCCCCAACTCTTTTGAGGGACCGAATTGGTCCCTCAACTCTTTAAAAAGGTATATATTTGGTCCTATCGTTAAACGTTAACGGATGATTTGGATCAACCTAACATATGTTAGAAGTAAAATTGGAAGAAAAAAAATTCGTTTCATTATATGAAGCAATGCCCGTAGCATCAAAATGAGATTTTAGTGTTCGTCCCGTAGCGAGCGTCCCGTGCACTCATCGACTCCACTCACATAGCCCTAACAAGCATCCGAAGATCAAGCACTGAGCATCGATCGCATTACTTCCGCAGCTGCGGCGCACTCTATTTCTCTATCACCTGGTGTATCATAGTCGTCTCTGCATCCTGCAGGGGCAACGTTTTCGCAATGCCTCACTTCCAGGGGTGCCAATTTCTCCGTCACCTAGTGCGGCACAGTCGATTGCATCCCGTAGGTGCCTCGTTTCTCTTTCGTATTACAGGTGCATCACTTCTTTGAACATCTTTGAGTGCACAAAATAGCTCTGTTCAATCCGTATTTTACTTGATTCTTTGAACATCTTACCTATCTCTATTTTGGCCAAGAAAGTCAGGTTGTGATTTTTTTTTAGTCAGGTTGTGGTTGGGCATTGCTAGGTAATTGATTAGGTCAAATTGTTAATTAACTTGTGTAATGGGTGACACTTATATTTAAATTTATGAAATTATTTTGAATTTATGCGAGAGAGGTAAAATTTCATTTTATAAGAGATTTCATACATTTTTAAAATTTTAAGTAATAGATTTTTTGATATTTTTCTGAGATTTGAATAAGCTCGGCTGTACTAGAAGATATTAGAGCATGGTTGCTTCTTGCATACATGATCAAGTGACTCACACCCGAACTCCTTTGTTCTGCAGATGCCATGGATTCGTCTTTATTCACCACACCAACCTCCTCAACTACGCTGGAGCAAAGAGTCTCGCAGTTGAATATCATGGAACAAAGTGGAAGGTATAATTTTTTAAAACATTGATTTTGCCGATTTTTTATTTATTTTTCTCACATTTATTAACTTCCAAAAAAATTATAATAGGAATAAATCATAAAAAACAAATACCAACCAGGTGGCTTGAAGATTCAAATTTCTCACAATTATTTGGTGGTTTAACTGAGGAGAATGATATTAACAATAATATAGAAGTAGACAAGGGTGATGGTGACTCTAATGACAATAGTGTCCATTGTTATGATGTTGACGACGATGTTGATGATTGGTTTGAGTATGAAAAAACCCAGCTAAAAGAAAAACAAATTATTAGAACGATCGAAGAAAATCCTACTAGAATTTTTAAAGGGGGAAAGTGTGATAGTGATTGTGTGGACTAAGGTGATGAAGCTAGTCATTATGATAGTGATGAAGATGAAACTTGAAAATGGCCAACTTTCAAACCAACAACATATTCCGTTACCAACTATTTCGAAATCGGCATGTTATTTATGTAAAACTCGAAATCGACGATCGTAAGCGTTGCACGCATCTCGATGTGTCGCGACGAAATTTACGTGAAATTTTTAAAGTCGACGGATTTTGATGAAATAAATTTTATAAAATTCTAAGCAAAATTTCGAGCAAATTGATACAAAGAACATATATTAAATTTCGCTTAAATTGAAAGTTAAAAATGCTAGAAGTTTCATAATATCTAAACTACCCCTATTAAATATTAAAGCAGAAATAATTTAAGTGAGGGCAAAATGGTACTTGGACATTTCCCAACTCCCTAACTAATAAAGAGGCCGAAACCTCTTCCTTTCATGCATGAGTTTCCTTCGGCCGAAACACGAAGGGAGAAGTGGACGGTAGAGGCGACGCAAGGCTTGGGGCGGCGGCTCCGGCAGCAGTTTCTGGCGGCCATTCCTTGGGAAAATTTGTAGAGGGAGGTTCAAAGGATAATAAGGTATGTTTTAAGTTAAGAATTTCTCCTTTTCTACAATAGATTTTTGGATAAAAAATTTTCGGGGTTTTGTGGAAACATTGAATTTCCTTAAGAGATTAATAGGGAAGATTTGGGAAGTGATTTTGTACATGAAAATGTGTTTATTCCCAAATGTTTTTGAGATTTACAAATTAGGGATTTTCCTAACTTGTGAATTTTAAGCAAACCCCTTTTAGATTTTTGTTTCTTATGATATTAGGAGTGTTTTAAAGGTGGAAATTTAGGTTTTTAGCAATAAAAATATTTTTCATAATTTTTAAAATAAATTAATCTGAAAATTATTAAGCACTAATTATTAAACTAATAATAGGAAAGTTTTAAAATGCATTTGGAAGAGAATTAGAAATTTTAAACTTCCTAAAAATTGAATTTTTAATAAATCCGAAATATTAATATTAATTATTATAAAATATTAGGGTGGTTATTATGAAAATTAAAAATCCTTTAATTGAAAATGAATAATTTTATGAAAAGTTTCGACAATTTAAAATATAATTATTGTAGAAAATTCCTTATGTATAATCTTAGGTTTTGAGCATATAAGGACAGCATGTGCCTATGCGACGTCGTACGTCGTAGTGATTGCTTTGCGATACTTACGAGGTAGGTATTGGAATTTAAATTAAGTTAATGTTACACTTTCAAATGTTATGATTATAGACGAGTGCTTATTATATATTATGATTATGTATTTTATGCATTTAATGATAGGCTTTAAAGAAAGAAAAGTTTATGAAAAAGAAAGGAAAAGATTTAAGGGAAAAATTAAAAAAAAAAAAATTGATTATGAAAATATTTTATAACTTATGTCTATCAAACGTTTATTATGATCTTTTATTGTTCTAATTTCATGCTTAATGACCTATTTTAAATTATTTCATGAATTTAAGATAAATGCTTATTACCTGTTGAGCATTCGCTCACCCTACTTTATGGAATGTTTTTCAGGAAAAACTGATAGAAATTGATGGCAATAGGAAAGTTTACCTACCATCGTAGAGGTTCAAAGGATGTCAGATTTTTATATTTTTGTTACGAATTGAGTCAGTTGATTTATTGTGGAGTTAAATGATGTATTGTATTTATGTCTTAAGTGATTGTAAGTTTTGGTGAATTTTGGAAATTTTCAATTTGAATATTTAGTGGCTCTTTCTTACGTTGTTCTTGGATGATGTTTATGTTTATATTATTTATGAAATGAAATTGTTATGATTTGAATGTTATATGTGTTCTCAGTACGATTGTTTGTTCCCATCTCATTAATTCGGGCTAGCCGGGCCGGGTCGTGATAATTTAGTGGAAATGAGGAATTCAAAAAATCTTTTAAAAATTGATCTATCTGACGGGGAAAACAATCAAATTTATAAAGAATGATTGTAATATTCAGAAAATTCCTAAATAGATGCTTCCTTTGGGTTAGTAAGAGAGCAATTAGTGCATTATGGAGTCCACTCCTTGTCCTTATCTGCCGCAAGCCATTATAGCAACTGTACAAGAGAAAGGATAGTGCTTACTACGGCACAGTGCACAGAAAAACTGTAACAAAAAATTTGGCACAGAAGTTTTGAGTGCTATGGGAATTCGGTATTGTAGAAAAATCCTGTAGCAGATTTCAGTGGGAGCTTAGTGCAGGAATCACCGTGTTTTTGTTCGGCATAGTGATTGGGAACCTTGTAGCAGATTCGGCTGAAGGAAGTGGGCACTGCTTAGAAGAAAACATTTCGGCAAGGTGTTTGCGGGAGTTGGCTATGAGGAATTTACAAGTTACAACCAAATGAGAACAGTAAGTGAGAGTTTGGAAAAGTTCGAAGACAAGAAAAGTTTAGAGAAGAAAGGAAGAAAAGTAAGATATGTTGAATACCAAAGGAAAATTAAAGAAGTGCAAATTTAAGTAAAATTATGTTTAAATGCAGACTAATTAACAATGAATTTTGAGTATATTATTTATGTTTATTGATTTCCACAGCATGATTTGAGAGTGGATTTGTAGTAAAGAATTCTGTTAAAACAAAAGAAGAGGAAACTAGAGAAAGAACTATATAGGTAAGTGATTTAATTTCTTTAATGCTTTTATAGAATTTTAATGTTAAGAAAAAATTCTAAAGAAGTGTATACCAACCGTAAGGTTAGGATTCATCAAAAACATACATGCAAAGAAAAAGTTTCGAGGTGACTTACAATCGTAGAAAAGTTCAAAATAGGGGATTGGAGGAGGCACCTCAGCAAGGAAGTAATGCAAATTCAATTTTTAAAGGCAATTTTGTTAATTTATGCTTGTATGTTTGTAATTGACCGAATTAAGGAGCATATGTATTACAAGTTATTTATTTTGATTAAGGATGTTATGCTCCAAATTTTCAAGTATGAATAATTTTCTTATATGATTTTAACATGTGAGTTCAAAAGAAAGTTTAGTATGTTAATCTAAATATTTTCCTATTTGAAAATGTTTAGGAAAGATGTCAATTTTCTTGCATAAGGTATGCATATTAATTGTATATGATTACAACAGAAATAATTATGAAAGCATGCTACAAAACAAGTATGACTTATGTAGACTGGAAAGTTTAATGAATATCCATTTAACTAAAAGTTTGGCTATAAATTTATGTATAACTTACTAATGCATGTGGGGTAAAAGAGTCCCCATATATATTAAATTGCATTGTAAGTGAGGAAAAAGGGACCCCAAAGATATGAGACATGCATAGCATGTGGGCAAAAGGGATCCCTCAAAAGGCAAAAGACACCTCTATGTAATTCAATGACGATAATATTAAGTTTACCTGGGCTCCATTAAATATTGTTATGAAAGTGTAGTCAAATCTATTACAGACTAAATTGGATATTTAGTGCAAAATTGAAAAAAATAAAGACTAATATTAATGATGATTTCACTATTAAGCTTAGTCAATGATGACTCCAATGTTTTGATTTATTATATTATTATGTTTTAACTATTAATTAAATTTTCAAATCTTATTAAGCCTCATAACTCACAAGTATCTATCTTCTTAGCTATTGTTACAGAAAAGAGAAAGGAGAATATTGTTGCATATTAATTTTGCATGTTATTTCTTCTTTCATGTTAATATTATCTTTGTTAGTTAGTTTACTTTTGATGTATGAAAATATTTCAGTGAGATATTACTTTGGATTCGTATTAGTGGCTCTGTAAATATATTTTATTGAAGTCTAAAGTTATTAAGTGCTTCCATTGATGTGATGAATGAAAACTGTTAGATCTTTTATAAAAATTTTTAAATGTTCAAAAGTATTATATGATTAATTGATTGATGAAAATGTTATGTTTATATTAGTAATACTCCCAATAATATTAAGAGGTACTATGGGGTGTTACAATGATAAAAGAAAATGTAACGAGGTCTGCAAACGGCCTAATCGCCCTTTTAACATATATATCTCAACACATCAAGGTAGTAAGTCATGGCAGATTAAATCATGAGAAGATCATTAATGTACATGGAATTATCATAGCAAGACTTTGACATCAACAGTTATTGTAAAGAGGTATGTGAATAAAGTCAAACTCAATCCCCAAATAAGAAGTGATGGATAACTTCAAATTGCATGTATCAAAACCTTAAGCCAAGAAGGGACTAAAGAAGGCACATCAATTCATCTACATGAAGTAGGAAGATTAGTTTAACCAAATTTGGAATTATTGTTATGAAGTATCAGAGAGTAATCCAAAATCTACAATTTATGTGCTTACAACTAAAGACCAAAACTTGTGTGAAAGAAAAAGATTTTTGTGACTTCATTTTTCTTTGATGCATGCAAAAAAGGCTTTATATCGTGATGTAGGCTAATTGTTCGTGTTGATGGATGTTTATTGAAAGGGCAACAAGGTGGTCAATTGTTAACGATTGTAGAGCTTGATGCTAACAATAGTATATTTCCTATTGCATGGGCGGTAGTTGAGACAGAAAGTAGAAGCAATTAGGAATGGTTTCTAAGTTTGTTAGGCAAAGATCTACACATTTTGAAGAATCAGCAACAGTATACCTTCATTTCAAATAAGCAAAAAGGATTAGTGTCATCTTTCAAGAACATTTTACTAGATGTTACCAATAGATTCTAGCATTTACATCAAAATTTCAAATTGGCGGGCTTCACTAGCATGGCTCTGAAGAATGTCTTAAGGGCAGCTGCAGCTAGGGAAAGCACCCTTAACCAATTCAAGTTCAAGATGACAGAGTTGGAGAACTTAAATGTGGAAGCATTTAAATAGTTAAGTGAGAAGCCTCCATCTGAGTGTTGCAGGTCTCATTATAGTTTTATGCCTAAATGTGACACTTTGCTTAGTGAAATATGTGAATGTTTTAACTCATACATTCTTGATGCTAGATAATTGTCCATTGTGTCTATGCTTGAAAGTATTAGAGCTATGTTTATAACACGAATGTTGGAGAAAAAGGTGAAGGCATTAAATTGGAATGGAAAGCTATGTCCTAGAATTAAGGAAGTTATGGGAAAAAATATGCATGAAGCAGGTTCTTGCATACTTTACAAATCAAATGATATAAACTATGAGATAAGTACCATGCATGAAAGTCAGTATAAGGTCAACTTGAACATAAAATCTTGTTCTTGTTAGAAGTGGGAGTTAAGTGGAATCCCATGTGACTATGCTTGCATTGCAATTCATATGATATTGGGAGACGGTGAGGATTTTGTTGATCGCTACTACACAATAGAAACTTATATGACAAGTTATGAGTGTAACATAAAGCCTTTGAATGGTGTTAATGAATAACCAATGTGTAACAGGGTACCACCATTGGCACCAAAATATAATAAAGCAAAGAGTGGAAGGCCATCGAAGTTGCAAAGAAGAATAATCGATGAAGAAGCATCACATTCACTCTCCAAAAAGATAGGGAGAGAAAATGTTAAGCTTCAATGTCGTAAATGTAGACAAAGTAGACACAACAATATAACATGTGAAAAGAGAACGGACAGTGAAGAGGGATGTGGAGAAGTCCAGTAAGTTATTCAACCATTGATTGAGATGGTGAGTCATATCATTCCTTCAATTTTATTTACATTGACAACGATTTTCATTTCAAAAATGTTAATTTTTTTAACTAGCCCTCGGAGTGTCAATCTAAAATTGAACCTGCTTTGAAAGTTCTCACTCAAAGATCTTCAAATACAACACTTTTTATATGTTGATTTTACTTTTTTTTGTCATAATTGACTTTTTCTTTTGCTATGTTAATCTAATCAAATCTTTTTTTTCTATAGGTTTACATTTTCAAAAGGAAAAAATCTCATTGAAGAAGCTTTTTGAAGCACAAGATATATCCAAATTTTCTCGTTGGTTCAGCAGCATGCCTTTTTTGCTTTCAATGGGGGATAGAAAAGTCTTTAATGATATTTATTTTTGCTTTTGTTTTGTGTTTTTTTTAACAGGGGATGGACATGCTTTATGGTATTATTTTGATTGAACCACATTAAATGAAAAGTATTTTTGCTTTTTTTAGTAATTTTTTGTATATTTTTTTAATCTACAATGTATATAATGAAACAATGTCAATTTTTTTATTATTTAATGTATTTGTAGAGCTTGTCATGTATTTGTAGAACTTGTAAATAAATGACAAATTTGGTTGGTTACTATATAGATAAACATTTTTAAAATATTAAAGTTAATAAAATTAAAATTATTTATAATTTTATTTTAAAAAAAGTTAATAATTTTTTTTCAAAAATTAGAAAACAATTTGTACATCCAAAAGTCTTTATACTTGATACATCTACAATTACATTTGTCTTTCTAGGATGATATTATATATCCAGCTCATAATCTTTGATAAGCTTCAACCATCATCTCTGCCTTAGATTAAGCTCTTTTTGATAAAATATGTATTTAAGGGTTTTATGATTTGTGAAGACTACATACCAGACTCCATATAAATAATATCTCTAATTTTTAAGTGCAAAAACTACAACTGCTAATTCCAAATCATGTGTGGGATAATTTATTTTATGAACTTTTAGCTATATTGAAGCATATGCCTTTACTTTATCATATTGCATCAATACACATCCAAGTCTCATTAATAAAGAATAACAGAAAAATTGAAATTCCCTTATAACTGATGGAATTGTTAATAATGGACCCATTATTAATAAATTCTTCAATTTCTAGAAAGCTTTTTCACACTGATTTCCCATTCAAATTTAACTGTCTTTT